CGCGACGCGTCACATATGAGGGAGCGCTCGCGCGATTTCTTCTCTCCATCTTTCTCTTTCTTTCTCTATCTGCATCATTTCGGCGTAATTCTCTCTCTCTCTCTTTCTCTCCCTTCCTTTCTTTCTCTATGCATAATATCATACACAACTATCACGAGTATCACGATATCGGCGGATAAGGGGACAATTAAGCGGCAAAAATATATGCGCGCGCGCATGTGTGTATGTGTGTGTATGTGTGTGTGTGTTTTGTATGCGTGTGTACCTTGGTATAGTGATGCACTTGGTGTTGCAACTCTGCGTCGTGATGGCCTTCTCGAGCTCGTCGAGGCCCGCGGACTTCTTGAGCTTCTTCACCAGACTCTTAACGGCCTTCTCGCTCCATTTGTCCTCGCTCTCGGCCTTCTTCCAGCCCAGCAGCCGCTTGACGATAGGCGGGTTAAAGCTGGGCAGCATTGAAGTCATCATTTGCCCTGAGAGGAGCGCGTGCGACCCGCATCGGGGCCGCTCCGACGGCTTGTCTTATCGTCGTCGTCGTCGTCGTCGTCGTCGTCGTCGTCGTCGTCGTCGTCGTCGTCGTCGTCGTTGTTGTCGTCGTCTTCCTCGTCACTCGTCACTCTTGTCAGTCGTCAGTCGTCGCAGTGCGCGTACGGATCAGTATCGTTTGCCTCGCGCGGTGCCTCCGATCGTCCCAGGTCGCCCCAGGTCGTCCAAGATTGCCCTAGGTTGCCCTAGCCCGGCTCACGAGAGACTCACGGATCGGCCACGGCGGATATGTGCGCGAGCGCGCGCGCGCACCCCAGCCGAATTGCCGAATACTGATCGCGGATCGCTACTCGCGACTCGTGACTCGCTACTCGCGCTCACGAGTCCCGTACACAACAAGATCACTCACTCTCGCAACTCGCACATAAATGGCAAATATCTTGTCACAGCCGCCATAGCCTACTCCAATGTCTCCAATACTCCAATGTACTGCAGTCTACTGTGAATACACGACTCGGCCTCGCTCGGCCGAGATCGACCATTATCGGTCAGCCGGTTGCGGAGCGTAGAGAGACTAGAACTACTAGAAAAGCAAACTCTCGCCTCACTTAAGGCTCGGCACTGCCAAGCACCAAGAGTCATGGTAGAGACCAGTAGAGACCTCTGTCTTGGAGGCGCGTTCAGCAGATTCAATAATTGAGTGAACGCTCACTGCTATTACTTTATTCTTCTAGATTTGAAGATCTAATTGGACAATCTAGAAGAATGTACCAATAACACAGCGGGTGCTCATTCAACAGCTATCATTCGCCAGCGCTTTGCAACAAATTGTAGGCCTATTCTTGAACACATATGAATAATTTTCGTGATTATATTTGTGATTTATACGGAATTGCTATTTTCGTGTGCGATATTTGTTCAAGACTATAAAGCCTAGATTGTGGTAACAGTCACTATGACTATGGAAACTGAATTACGGTTACGGCCTATTATATAAACCGGGCCTTATTATTATTATATTCGGTATAACTTATATCTAATAGGCCGTTGAAATCTTAATATTTATTCCTGTTCCTAGGCTACATTCCAAAACTTCTTCTTCAAGGAAAATTTTATTCGAAATATATACGTAACGTATATATTATAGCATGTAGAATAAAATCTTCCTCGGAGAAGAAGTTTTGGAACATAGCCCTAATATTTGTTCTATTGTGCGTAGATCTGAAGAATCGCTGCATAAATATAGGATTTTAGCTACTGGAAGCATGTGGCGACATCTGCGCAAACAAAACAGGAAATGACCGGTGGCGTTTAAAATCCAACGTTCTTTTTAAATCTCTTCTTGATATTGCATCCATTCATTTAAATCACACGCAGGCGGCAGGAATCTGTAATATCGGAATTCACGCGGCATTGGTATGTACAATGTATATATATATATATATATGTATGTACACTGACACCGACGCGTATCTTAGACGTTGGTAGAAATTGAATTAATCAAGTGGTGTTACAATTTTCCAAATTTTGTTTTTCGACACGTTTCTTATCTTATCAACAATGATTCGACGTTGATTATCTCGTCAATGTGTATATACATACATCGAGTTTTGTTCTCAACTTGTTTCAAAACTTTTTTTAGCGGTCGATCGTGCACTTGAAGACACGTCACATTTGTTCGTTATGTCACACCTGAGATTCATGAAGGAGCTTGACAATTTAACTCGCATGGATGATGCTATTAAGGGCGCAATCCCACGTTGGCAAAAGAAATGCATGGAAGCATCGAATTTAAGGTAACTATCTTAAATTTTATATTTTGTGTCGAGAATCTGATTATTAATACTTTATTATTAAATTGGTAAATTCTTGTACCATCAATTTACATTATAATTACAATTTACATGAATTTAAAACATTGAGTAAATTTGTTAGATGTGCATGCAAATACATTGGCTTTGTTTAATGCAAATATTGTCTTATACATGTACCTCATGTTGCAGCATTAATCACAGTTTAAACTCGTCAAAAAAAATTACTTCTTTCACAAGCAGTGTATCAGGAAAGACCCCGACGAAGAGAAATGATTGCAAAACCAAGAAAACTCCCTCCAAATGTATTAAAAAATCTCCAAGTAAGACTCCTAGTATTTATACATTGTTAATGAAAGAAATGAAATTTTGATTGCATTTTATAATAGGTCGAGCCACTACTCCATCCAAGACACCCAGCGGTGGCGACAGATTCATTCCGTCAAGAGCCACGACTAATTTCGAATTAAGCCATTTCAAGGTAACAAATATTTATGACTAAAAGTGAGTAAATTCAATTGCACTAGTGTGCATTGGTGGACATTAAAGTCGTTATGTATTAATTTAACCCGAGTATAAAATTACAAATATTTTAAATTATAAAATATATATTTTATCTACAGTACAATAAAGTGTATCAAAAATTCCATGACTTAATCTGTTTCTATATTAATACTAAAGAAATATCTTTATGCCAATTTGTGTACGATGATTTTTATTCACTATGCACTGAATGTGTTCATTAACAAAAAATTCTCTATAGGATATTTGAAATTTCCTTGGCATATTTATGCACTATTTTTTCTACTTTAGATTCTTCAACAACAAAATGCTGAACAAGATAAAGACAAAGCTGATAAAATGAGTCCTAAGAAACGAGAGATGCAGCGTCTCATAGGAGAGAATCTTCATGGTGGTGATATAAATAATGCGCGAGTTTTATCTTATCAAATTAAAGCACCAGCGCCGCCAGAAGGATATCAGAATCCTCTCAAAGTCCTGTACAGTCAAACTAAAACGCCAGCTAGTGTTAGAGCTTCCACTAGATACATACCTCAAGCTCCTGATAGAATACTGGATGCACCTGAAATTATCGATGATTATTGTAAGCGACCTGCCTTCGCATTTTTTTTATTTACTAAAAGCATGAAAGCTTTGACACTTGGATAAAAAAAAATTTTTTTTTACAGATTTAAACTTGGTGGATTGGTCAAACAATAATATCTTAGCTGTAGCGTTAGGTGCTAACGTTTATTTATGGAACGCTGGAACTGGTACTATAGAACAGTTATTTGAATTAGAAGCGAATGATTATGTATGCTCCGTTGCATGGATTCAAGAAGGTCCATGTTTAGCAGTGGGTACCACAGTAGGAAATACAGAATTGTGGGATTGCAGTCAAATGAAGAGAATGCGCGTTATGAATGGACATATAGCCAGAGTTGGTTCTCTTTCCTGGAATTCCCATGTACTATCAAGCGGCTGCAGGTATGCATTAATACACTAAATTGTTAGTACACTAAATTGTTTTGTAGTTGTTGCCCATAAGATTTAAAAAATTGATCCTTATAGAGAACGATTTTGTAAAGCTATTGATTAGATTGATAAATATAATAGTTATTTGAAATTAAGTACATTTATTAAAGATTTTGGAAAAATTACATTAAAATAAAAGTGGAATTAAAGTGGAAATAAATAAAGTGGAAATAAGAGATGTAACTAAGATTGAAATTAAAAGTAAAATTCGAAAATTTTTGGAAGTAAGACTAAAATTATATTATTGTTTCAAAGGTCTGGTAAAATAGTACATCATGATGTCAGAGATCGAGATCATTTGATCTCAACTGTAAACGCACACGCTCAAGAAGTGTGTGGTTTAAAATGGTCGCCTGATGGGCAATATCTGGCGAGTGGTGGCAATGACAATATGCTACAAATCTGGTCGTCAATCGCCGGGCAAAGGCATTCTCAGACGCAACCTATTTATTCGTTCAATCAGCATCAAGCTGCCGTAAAAGCACTCGCTTGGTGTCCTTGGCAAAACAATGTACTCGCAAGTGGCGGTGGTACCGCCGATCGGACCATTAGATTTTGGAATTGCAACTCAGGCAAGTTACGGAAGAGGCGATTTGTAAATTATAATAATTTAAAGCATTAATTTAAAGCATATTAAATTTATAGAAAAAAATATGAGTAATAAAAATAAAATAAAAATTATATATAACACATGATTCAATTTTTTGTTACAGGTGCCTGTTTGAATACAATAGATACAAAGTCTCAAGTCTGCGCTTTGCTATGGTCTACGAATTACAAAGAGATTGTTTCTGGACACGGATACGCGCAAAATCAGCTAACAATTTGGAAATATCCAATGATGACGAAGCTCGCGGAACTTACCGGACACACCAGTCGCGTTTTACATTTAGCCATGTCTCCGGATGGAACTACGGTGCTTAGTGCTGGTGCCGACGAAACGTTAAGGTTGTGGAAGTGCTTTCAAGTAGACCCACAGAAAAAAAAAGAATCTACCGACATAAAATCAGTTGCGTCTAGGCTCAAACAATCGATTCGATAAAATCGACATGTAATGCATGTTGCTTAGCGATCATTCCAGTATTTATTTTTCTAACTGATTGTATGCAATCGGTATATACAGATATATAATATAAATAGAATTAATTCAGATATATGACATGGTCGAATATTATCGAACATAAAAATATTGACGTATCGAATAAATTGATTGATTCATTTTATACAGAGAAAGAAAATGCAAAAGTAAATACTTAATATTGATAGACCCAACATTTCAGATACATGTACGATCGGTGAAGAAAGTAGATGTAAGAACATATTATTGTTAAACAATGTACAAACAAGCTTGCGTTAGCGTATTACGTCTCTAACTTTTATTATATTATATGAAAATTCAGATTCTACTTACAACAATCATTTTTAAGATAATAGTTATACAACTGTAAGAAGTAAAAATAAATTTTTTTATAAATTGAGTAATTTTTATTTCATAAATAAGCTTTTTATGACTATCTTGTTAAATTTTATTATAATTTTCAATTGTTTAAGAAAAGTTTTTTTTATTTTTATTACGTTATTTTAAACTTTTCATAAATTTAGAAAAAAAAAATATATATATATATACATATA